TTAAAAATGCCTTCAAATAATATATACTAATACTTTTTGTTTTTTTTAATATAACAAAATTCAATCAAAAAATATTGTAACATTATTTGAGAAACACAAAGAAACAACAAATGTGCAAAACTATAATCAACAATGTAAATAAGTAATAACCGAAAGTCCTCATCAGTCTACATTTTTTGTAAGCAAACGTCCTCATCAGTCTACATCAGCAATAAGTGAAAATCCTCATCAGTCTACATCAGTAATAAGCTAAAGTCCTTTTCAGCCTACATCAGCAGTAAGTGAAAGTCCTCATCAGTCTACATTAACAGAAAGCAAAAACTATGTATACGCCTTTCCTTTAACTTCAGTTCTTAGAAAAAGAAAAGAAAAGAAAGTCAAACTAGCACAAATACCAAGCAAAAATGTAGATGACCTACGACTTAAAACAACAGAAAAGTATGAGATGTTATTTCCTGATTTTTTTTTATTCATCATCAAAACAAGGTTGGTTTTGTAAAATTTGCATATCGTTTACCCCTGGAAAAAAAATTAGTCGTGCATTTATTGAAAATTCTGGCAAGTTTGCAGATCACTCCTTGAAGCATGCTAATGATCATTTAAATACGTATAGACATACTATAGCTTTAAAAATTAAACAAGCTTTTGATGAAATGTCTAAGCAAGACTTGAGTATCTGGAAAATGCTGCATAAAAATACCCTTGCAAAAGAAACATTAAAAACAAGTAACTCTCGCTTTGTTACTAAAACCTTCTTTTAAGTCACGCATGTTAATCATAAAAAACTGGGCACATACTCTTAATTTTCCAGACATTATTGAACTTGTAGCTGCTTGTGGTTGTAAGGAAGTTAATGCGCACGTTTTATCTAGCCCAGCAAATGCAACATACATGTCTCCAAAATATATTGCTAAGCATATAAACATTATCTTTGATTTTGTCAAAAATCCTTTACTCCAGTTACTTAGAAGTGGTGGGGGCTTTTCTTTTTATTTAAATGAAACTGCTGACATTACTTTGATTGAACAGTTAACTATACATGCCACTTTCCAACACAACAACACCGTTAAAGAATATTTTATAGAGATAGTTCATTTAAGTAAGCTCACTGGTTCTAGTCTATTGGCTCCAAATGTTTTTGATGTTATTCAAAATTTTTTTAGAGCTAATGATATCTCATTTAAAAACGCTTGCTTTGCTTGTATGGACACAACAACCGTCAATTCTGGTGTAAAAGGAGGTTTAAAAACCTATATTGAGGATGCTGTGCCACTGTGTGTTTGGGTTGGGTGTACAAGTCATAAACTTGCATTATGTTTTAAACATGTTTTGAAGGACTTTCCTAAGGTAGATATTTTTTTACTTAACCTATGGTTAAGTAAAAAAATATCTACCTAGAAGTTTTTTAAGTTCCATGCAATTACTGCAGGAATGCTCCGAAATCTACGAAGAACTGGAAACCATAGTTCCAGTGTGTCCAAGTGTAACCCGTTGGACTGCATACGATCGAGCTTGTTTAGTTGTGTTCAAAGGTTATAAACCGATTTTACAACATGCTATACCGAACGAAATGAAGCAGAAGCACTCAGGCAATTTATACAAGCGAGTTCACTATCTAACATTGCAACAATATTATTGCTCTTAGATGTGTTTGAAGCGATATCTCAGAAACCGAGACAAAAAACGAATTTGAAAGTTTTAAAATTATGTTATTTACAAAACGCCGAGAATAGGAAAACAGTAACAATATACGTATATCAAAAGAAAAAGATCAAGAGGTAGTCAATAATTTTAAGTCAAGAAACAATTTTACGCCTCAAGAGTTATGGAAAGTGATTAATAATGACCCTGTTTTGATAAGTGTTTATGCTAATTGTATGTTTTTAACTAAGTTACTCATTATATTTCCTTTGAGTGTAGCTTGCATTGAAAGATTTTTTTCAAAATTAAGAATAGTTAAAAACTGTCTTTGAAAAAAAAGCCAAAGCACATAAGAAAGCGTGGTGATGATTGCATCAGAAGGTCCAAAGTAGTGTTTTGACGACAATTTGTTAGAGTATTTTGTCAATGAGTTAAAATGTAAAAGTATGAGAATTACATTGTAAATTTATAATTTACAATGTAATTCTCACGTAAATATCATATTTTTATTTTTTTAATTGAGACTGCAGACAATTGGTGAATATTTAATGTTTGTAACTTTTTTAACGAAAAATTTACAGTGACTTCTTTGTATTCCAGCAGTGTTTTTACAATTTGTGTTTGAAGCAATTTATTGAATTTTTATTTGGATGCAAAATAAAAGCTTTTTGTTCCCAAATAATAATTAGACGAAGAAACTTTCTGCATGATCGCCTAGTTTTCTTATTGCTTTAAACCCAATTGTTATCTAAATAAACAAGCTAGTACGTTGCGAAACGCTCATTTAAAACGCATGTGAACCAAGCTTATCAGAAAGTTATCGAGTTATTTTGATTTAAATAACTATTTTTTCTTATTGCCGATGACGTTTAAGGCACAGTATAAAACAATAAAAACGTTTACAATTTACACAAACAAGTTATTGATAAAAATTATATTATAAAATTAGCTTGCAAAAATATGAATATCTGTGTAAATATAAAAAAGGTATAAAAAGATTTTATAAAGGTCCTAAGTATTTAAAATAAATTATTTAAACTTTCCTTATAATGTATGTTGTTTTCAAAGAGGGTCATCATTTAAAAAATAGTTTTCGATATTAAAAAGGTACTCGAGGAAGGTTAAAGTTATTATAAATTCTGTTGTAAAAATTTAAATTTTACACTTTTAATAAAAAAGTAAATGAATAAGAAAAATTCTATATTTACAGCCATACACTGTTGTTGTAAATAATCATTTAAACTTTAAAAAAAAAATATAATATAGTTTTTTTTTATCATATTAAATATTACTTAAAATAATGATTATTTTAATTATTATTGTTTAAAAGCGAGTTACGCAATTAAAGTAGATTTAATTATTATTAAAAAAAAATTTAAGTAGACCAAAGTGTCACTTTGTTAATTATTTGAAAATAAGAAAAGATCAATCTTGTTTTCTTGCTACTGAAGAAAAGACGCAATATAAATATGAAAAAGAATAAAAAGATTGCTTTGAAACAGAAATAAGTGAAAAATTAATCGATTTTTTTAATTTAGCATTTATAAAATATACATTTTCTGTATTGAGTATTGACGCGACAAGTTTTGCCTAAAAACTTTTGTAATGTACAACCTTTTTTTTTTTTTTTTACTCACCAGCCGACAACAACTTAAAGTTCCCAATATTATGGTAACGCTGTATAAATTTCATTCTTGGGTAACACCCTGATTATATCATTGTTATTTTTTACTTTTTAAACAAAAGTTATTTTTTAATTTTATTATTTAAATTTAATTTGTTGTATAAATTAATAAGTATTTTTTTATATTATGATTATATTACTCCTGATGTTGCAGTGATGCTTTCTAATTCAATATAAAATGTTTGGAAACTTTTTTAGAGAAATGTTTTTTTTTTCAATACTTGTAAGTAAAAAGTTTGCCTAATTAAATAAATTTTGTAGTTAGTTTATATACATCAGGAGGGAGATAACTCTTTCACAGCTGAAATGTCTGCACCATCTAAGTATACATCAACTTGATGAAATTTGTAATGGAGATGAGTTAGGATTGTTTTTTTCGTATGTAAAGTTAGTACTTTGCTAAATCTTTAAATGAACTTATTAAACTTGGTTAGATAAATGCACAGTAAAATTTATTTTTATGAATTGATGGAATCCAATGCAGTTATGCTAAATCTTTAAATGAACTTATTAAACTTGGTTAGATAAATGCACAGTAAAATTTATTTTTATGAATTGATGGAATCCAATGCAGTTATGCTAAATCTTTAAATGAACTTATTAAACTTGGTTAGATAAATGCACAGTAAAATTTATTTTTATGAATTGATGGAATCCAATGCAGTTATGACTATGTTTGGCATATATAAATCAAAACTCACTCCCTGCCTCAAGGACTCAAGCACTTAATTTGCAGATAAAAATATTTAAAAAAAAAGTACTCTTAAAAAGTGAAAAAAGAAAATGAAAAATAAGTAAAGTTTGTAAAATGAATAAATAAATTACATTCTTAATATAAATTACAAAAGAGATAAATAAATAATGCTTATCCTGAAAACTGGCCAGTAAATAATAAAAAATAAAGTATTCCTGTTTATTTAAATTTAGATGCAATAAAAACTTTTACCAGTTTTGTCGAAGTATTAATTTTGTATAAACATGAATCTGCCCTGTTAGAGACGATGACATCTTAAGGATAATAAAAATCAAATTAAAAGAAGTATCCAAGTTTTGGATGACTGTATTCCACTCAGTCCTAGTGTGAAAATATCTAACAACTAAACAGTACAACTTGGTTTTGTTTGGGTTACCATTTACAGCTAATGCAAGCCTCAAGATGTGCTCAAGAGAGATCACATCAAAAACTGACCACCTGTTCCAAACAATTAAAAGTTATGAGTTCTTGTCAAAACTGGAGCATAAAGCTGTTTCATTAGCGAATAGAGCTACCTTAAAGGTAAAATTATCAAGGAAATCATTATTATAGATCAGAAACAACATAGAACCATGTATAGGACTTTTTGTTACTTTACTTTTATCAAAAAAAAATTTTCAAAACTTTCCTAAATACAATATAAGAAGAAAGCTTATAAAGAAGATTAGTATGCCAAACTTATTAATTGTTATTAATGTCAAAAGCAAGTGTTCTTGTTGTCAAAACCTTTTTTTTTTGGTATTTGCATTTCTTTAATACATATAAACTTGTTGATTTTTGACTCTTTTATTTAGTTTTTTTTTTTTCATTAATGCATGATAGTATTTTTGTAAAAAAAATCTTGAATTTTATTAAAGTTCATTTTTTTATAGCTCAATAATTCATTTTTTTTTTTAACTTGATTATTCAATTTTTATTTAGCTCGATAATTCAATTGATGTTAATAACAATTCACTTAAAGATGTTTTCAATAATATTCAAAATGTTATTAATGCTGGTATAATTTTATGTTGTTATATATTCATGTTTATTGTTATGCAATTATAAAAAACTATTTAAGTAACGTTAATAAATTATATAATATAAGTGTAACTCTTGTATCCTTTAAAATCTTCTACGTTTTGGCAACTAAAATTTAAGATTATGTTAAAGGTCTGAGCTTTAATAATTCAAATTTAATATTAAAAAATGTTGCACTTAGAAAAAAAATTTTTTTTTCACATTATCTATAAAAAAGGAACAAAAAAAAAGCAACTTCTAAGACTGAAAAAATTCATGGAATTACCATGTCATCAAATTTCAAATGGAAAGGTCACATAACAAGTTACATTAAAAGCTTATTCAATGCTTGAATTATTTTAAAGAAAAAACAATTTCTATAACTCATTAAAAAAATGTTGGGGATGCTATATGTAACATTTATAAGACCTCTTCTTGAATTTGTGATTACAACCATGGTGTTTATACTATAAGGTTGATGTTGACGTCTTTGAAAAAGTTTAATATTGTGTCACTAAATGGATATCCGAAATTTAAAAATTAAGTTACAAAATTACAAGAATTAAAATACTGGCTTTAGCAAACGAAAAAAAGATGTATTAGAGGTGATTTAATGCAAGTGTTCAAAGCATTACAAAAATTAAATAATATAAAACTTAATAAAAGAATATTTGCCTCATATCAATTTAACAGAAAGGGACATAGTTCATCATTAAAAGTGAAGGCTTAAATCAATTTAAAACTTGCAATATTAATAAATATTTAAAGCTTTATGATCTACAATTTATACTATATTTTATTTCCTAGAAAAGTTAATTATTAACAACTAAAATTTTCAAATGATTGGTGGAGGTTAAAGTTTATAAACTATTAAATACATACTTGTGTCATTATAATAAATGAAAGTTATCTATATATATATTGGTCGCCTTTTTTTTAAAAATTGTGTTAGTAAATGCTTTGTATTTTCAAAAACCACAAGTTTGTTAAGAAATTGAAAAAAGGTGATTGTGTAGTTGTTTTACAAATCACTTATAAAACAATTGTTTCACAAGTTTCTTATCCATTTTATTTGTGAATATTCTGCTATTTTTACTTGAACAAGTAACTTTATTAAAATATAAAATATCTAATTGTTAGTTAATAAATTGTTCAATATTCAGTTATAGTTAAATGTAAATAATGAGTTGTTTTAGCATTTAACATATTGTCACTTTGCTAAATATAGCAATAAATAAAATATTTGAGAAAAAGAATCCAATAGATTAAAATCTTAAGCAGACTTGGTTCAATTTTTATGCATAAAATAAGGTGGTGTTGAAGTTAAACCATCACAAATATAAAGGTATCTGGCTGGAGAAACTTGATTCATTTTTAAAACTTGAGCACAAATGCTTCAAGTCTAAGTAATCATGGATTACTTAGTCTTAAAGAATTATGTCATCTTTAATATAATTGCAATTATATTGAAGCCATCGAGCTGGCAGAGCTTTTAGTAATATTAAACTGTAGGATACAAATTTTACAACATATACTGTATAAAATTTAATGTGGGGTACAACGAACGGGACCTGTCTCTTTTTCAATTTTCAACATTACATCAGTGGTTGTTGCTACAATATTGTTGTCCAAATCCAACTTGAATTTAAACAATCTTTCATGGTTCCAGGGACGCAAATCATTCAAAGCAATAACAGTTATAACCATTTAAACCATGTAAGTTCAGATTCATGTAACAGCAAATATTGAACAAATTGGATCTATCAAAACTAATAAAAAAAGAACCTTTATTTTGAATTTTATGAATTTCTTGCTCAATAAATTGAATCATAACAGTCATAAATTGATCTCTGACATTGTGTGTTTTTTAACAAAACAGTTTTGAACCATCTGGTTTAAATGCTCTTCTATGCAGAACACTATTTGCAGTTTGGTTGAGACATAGGCTATCAACTTAGAATAATTTGCAACCAATAGGTTTTAAAACTTTCTTAAAGAAATCATCAATGCAAAAAACTTTTGGTTATCTAGTGAGCAATTTTTCTCATGGCAAAATTATCCTTGATTCTAGTGCTTTGCTTGTAAGTGTTAGATAAAGCTTTTTATTTCAAATGCTTTCAAAAATGCTTAATTAATCTTGCACTTTGCACTATCTTCTGTTTTATTATACAAAAACTATTCCCATGTGATTTCCTTTGATAACTAACATTATAGAAGTCAATCATTTGAAAAAAAAACAACTATGTTTAATATAATGATGATATTATTTAATTTTATTATGAAACAAATTTATGTTACATATTAACTATTAAAAATAGTTTTATAGTAGACAATAATGTTAACAATATATAAACCAAAATATTTTGAATTTTAAATGTATAATAGCTTATTTACACAAAAATAACAATTTTAATTTGTTTAATTTTAAAAGTACTTATGTAACAGTTATAAACTGGAAACCTCAACCTCAAATGTGGATTTCAATTATAAAAACTTTTTCATACCATTCATCTTGTACCAGTTCTCAAATGCAAATCGTATAAAGAATGATGTAAAGAAATCATATAAAGAAATTATATAAGAATCTATCTGGAAATTAGAATGTCTAGATCAGGGCTGGATTTACACCCATTGAGGCCTAGGGCTAATTGCTTTTTGCTGCCTTTTTTCAAAAAGTGTACAATTTTCTTATGTCATTTTTTCATTTATTACATAAAAAAAAAAATTTATCAAGTATACTGACAGTATAATATTGTACACATATATGTAAGTTGATTTTATAAATGCAAAACAAACTAGGGTTGTTCGCCAAAAAACAAAATTTGCAAAAATTTTGCATCTTTATCTACTGTAATAGAATTGTTATTGCAGAAGTTGCTCATGCAAAAATGCACATTCCGTAACGCACTATACGAAAATATAAATAAATAAAATTCCATAATAAAGCATTGCAAAATAAAACTTGCGAAACAAATCATTTCTTAAAAATACTTCAAAATCATTTCGTAAAAATCATTTCGTAAAAATAGTTCGTTACGGAAGGAGCATTCCAGAATGTGCAGTTATGAAAAGACGCAAAAGATTTTATGTTACGATATATTTAAGATATTAACTGTTAACAGTTTAAATAATAAATAATAAAATTATAAAAAAATGTTGTTAAGTGATTCTTTAATTATTAATAGAAATATATCTATTATATATATATATATATATATATATATATATATATATATATATATATATATATATATATATATATATATATATATATATATATATATATATATATATATATATATATATACAAATATATACAGTAAAATCCCGTTAAGTTGGACTCTCAATGGGAACAGATAAATTGTATGACTAGGGAATGTCTAAGTTAATCGTAGTTCTTGGTATTTATAGAACGTTCAAGGAAAATTGAAAAACTTTCCAACTTAGTTAAAGGGGCTGTCCATAATGATGTCTGATTTTTCTCAATTTTTAAACCCCCTTCCCTCTTTGTCAAACTGTCATTTTTTGGCAAAACTTTATATATGATGTCCCCTTATATATGGTGTCAAATTTCGTATCCCCCTCTCCTTAAAGTAACATTAAAAATATGTGTAAGCACCATTTATTTTTTCTGGTTAAATTGAGGAGCAAACATTCAAACCGTGTTTTCTCCAAAAAAAAATAAAAACTGAGATATTGATGGTTTCTTGTAGTCCATGTTAAATAGCACCAGATTCAAGCCTTAGTTTCAGTCAAATCATGCTTTATCCTATTTAAAAACAGCGTGCAAAACTAACTGTTCAATCAAAGAGTGTTTTCTCCAAGATCGGTGTTCTGTCAAACAGTGCTTTCTCCAGCTGACCAATGGGAGCGGTCCTCTCTGATCACATGACTAGTTGGCATAAGCTGTTTTAACACGTGGTTCAGTACTGAAAGTAAGGTTATGGTAGGTAGTTCACTAATACTATAGCTCTACAATTTTATTAGTTTCAATCTTTCGATTTCAAATGGATGAAGTGGTTGATGGTATTTTAGTAAGTATTGGAAACACTGGAGCTCGTAAAAGACAGGCAACTGGCAAAAGAAGAAAAGAAGAAAAACAGAAGCGTTATTCATCACCTGCAGGAACCAATGTATACATTCCGTGCAAGCATTCAACAAAGAAGTTCTCATGTTGTGACCTTACGATGTAAAGAAACTGAGGGACAAACTTTATAAAGTTCCTGACAAACTTTGTCAAGATTCAATAATTAGTTCTCTAGTTGAAACAAAAAATTTTATTTGATGAAGGCCTAATAACCCTAACCTAAACAAGTCGCATAAGTCAAGCTCTCAACATGCCTTTTCTACAAACTACTTCATTGTTGGAAATAAAACGAGAATTCCTGTTTGTAAGAATAATTTTATTGCCATTACTAATGTAGGAAGGACAAGATTGGCCAATATTGTTTCCAAAATCCATGCTGGAGATCCTATTGAGGATAGAAGAGGAGGTGATAGGAAAAGTAGCCACAGCATTGATAAAAAGAACAAAGTGAGAGATTTCATTTCTAATTTGAAGGCATCAGAAAGTCACTATGGGAGAAAAAAATCTAGATGTTTGTATTTGAACTTTAAAATGAATATAAGAAAGCTGCACCAAATTTATTGTGACCAAATAAAGGATGATTTGTACAGAGTGAGTTTTGCCATGTTCAGGAGAGTGTTTGTTAATGAATTTAACATTGGCTTCAAACTGCCATCAAGTGATGTTTGTAGCACGTGCGCCCTTCTAGACCAGAAAATTAAAACATTGCCATCAGGATCCATGGAACGTGTAAACCTTATGACTCAGAAAAGGATTCATAAACTTAGGGCAAATGCATTTTATGCGTACATGAAAGAAAAAACCGATGAATCTGTGTGCAGTTTGTGTTTTGATCTACAGCAAATACAACAATTGCCAAAAACAAACATTCAAGATGCATATTATCTGAGGCAGTTGAATTTTTATAGTCTATGTATTACTAGTTTGGATGGCAAAACCCCAACATTTTATACATGGTCTGAAGAGCAGGCAGGAAAAGGCAGTACCGAAATTTCCTCAGCTCTACATTCTCACCTAAGAACAATGAATCTTAAAGGAATCAAGACTTTACGACTTTTTTGTAACGGATGTGTTGCCCAAAACAAGAACAATATCAATATTCAAATGCTTTTGCACTTTCTCTACTCTTCAAATAATGCTGACATTCAAGAAATTCAACTCTACTTTCCGGTCAGAGGCCATAGTTTTCTGCCAGCAGATCGTGTGTTTGGTAGGGTTGAGAAAATCCTTAGGAAAAGTGTAACAATAATATCCAAAGAACTATATTATGAAATTTACAAGAACATTGGAGCTGTAAAAATTATGGGTGTTGATTGGGAACTTCTAAATACCAAATCACTCAACAGGTTCTTCAAAAATCTTTCATACATATCAGAATTAAAAAAGATCTTTTTCAAGAAACAGGGCTTAAAAAAGATCTTTGTCAAGGTCAAGGGCTTCAAAAACTATAGATTTGAAGATGGAAGTGAGCAAGCTGGAGAAGGACTCCTGAAAAGAGGAATAAAAGTTTCAAACGTCAGAAATATAACATTAGAATCTCTTCCACTAAATCGTCCTATTTCTGCCGAGGAGAAAAAAGATGTTGAGAAACTCTTGAAACTATTATATGGGGATGGATGGCACAGTGAGCCTGATTTTGAATGGTACAGGAAAATATTATTCGATGAATAAGACGGGAATGAAGAGGAAGATAAAGTGTGTGGCTGTTTGGATGAAGATATTGGAATGAGAATTTAAATTGTTGAGTATGTATTATTATTGTGTTTTATGTTACCATATTTTTTAATTTCTTAATTTGTGTGTTGCGTTATTTCAAAATTTTTCAAAAAATTGAATTGCACCAATAAACCCCATTGACTTTGTGTTATTCGTTTGTTGTATTACTTAAATTATTCAAAAAGTGTTTTATCCTTGTGAGACTCAATCAAAACATGTTTTCTCCTTAGTATTCTGTCAAAATGTGTTTTCTCCAAAAAATAAATGCATTTTTTTCATTTGTTTTCAAACAAATATCTAAAATAATGTATCAGAATACTCCTCAGAGCTATTAAGAACAATAGAAAACTATAACTTTGATTCATGACAGTTTTTTAAATTTTTATCAGTTTTTTGCGTTTCCTGTAAATTCTCATCTGAAAGAGAAAGCACGGTTTGAACGTTTGCTCCTCAATTATACATTTATATCTCACCATATTATATTATAAAGCAGTTGAATTTTATTTTGTATCGATAATATAAATTCAATCACTCATCGTCTTTCCATAAGTTGTTGAAGTGTTCTTCGATAATAATTACAAATGACTTTATGTGTTTGCTTTAAAGCACATTTTAAAATCCTCTGGGATCGAATAATGATTGTTAAATTTATATACAAATTATTGATATTTGTAAACAATTAGATTTTCAGTCAAATGGTAATACAATAGTAAAACATTGGTAAATTGTTAATTTATATCATGTCTCCTGGAAACTTACATTGAATTCCTCACAAAGCAAATATGCTATTTCTATACCACATTTTAGAATTAAATACCTTTGAAATCTGCTCGTATTAGCCAAGTTCATATAACGCGGTTTGTAGGGAAAAAAATAAAAATGGTAGTGTTATAAATAACAACAAAACCGTGTGAAGTCTATTTTTGTATATAGATAGTTTTGTTTATATAAATCTCAAATCTTTTTCAATAAAAATAGTGACTTTAGTTTAAATTCGTATTGTGACCAAATGTGATTATGATCTCAATACATTCCAACTGTTTAAAAAAAATTTTTGTATTCGTTCTGAATAGCTTCTACACATGGAAGGCGATAAAATCCTATTGGTTTCGCATTTGGGTTTTTAGAATATCTTTTCATTTTAAAAACTAGGATAGCTAAAGCTAATAATTAAACTTTTTTCTGAATAAAATACACAAACAGAACAGGTTTAAGATACACTAAAAAGGTTTAAACAAAGCTACCATTTTAATTTTTTTCCCTACAAATAGACCCAGGTTTCTGACTTGAATTTGGCTAATAAACTTGACTTTTTTTCTCTTAAATGGGCATTATTTTGGTCTCAACACCCCCTCCCCATTGTCAATTCTTGTCAAACTTTTCAGTACCCCCTCCCCCTTATATTTACTGACATCATTTATGGTTAGCCCCAAACTCCTACTTATCCAAGGACCAAAGCAACGAAATTCTACTGTATATACTCTTTTTTTTTTTTATAAAAAGTAAGCATATGTAAGCATTTTCCTGAGCCTCGATAAACAATTTTAAAAATTTTATTTTTATTTAATTAAAAATTTTAAATATATATATTTCTAAATTTAAACCAACAAAAACAACAAAAACCGAATGTTTATAACAACATTAATTCAGCTACATTAAAACTGAAACAAAAATACAGAGCATAAGTCAACTTTTTATTTTTCTTATACCCATTAACCTTTAGTAACGTGCACATTTTTAGAAATTATTGAAATAGGTATATTTTACTAGAAATATGCTTAAAGTTAAGCATATTTTTGAGCCTTTTTTTACTTTTTGCTTAAGCATGTTCGAACCTGTTTCAAATATTTCATATGCTTTAAAAAAAAATGTATATTCCACCCCATCATTCTTACTTTTACTATATGTAATAAGTTCAAAAAACATCATTATATATATTTATTATTATATACATCATATATATATATAGTAATATGGCATGTTTCGTAAGTTTGTTTCCGTTAAGAACTCTTTCGTATGTTGTGATGCAAAATACTTTCGTTTCGAAAAAAAATTTGTTTTTTATCAATATTACTAAAAAAAAAACCATAAAAATTTAATATGTTATTATAATGAAAATAAAACAAACTAGAAAATAAGTAATTATTACAGCATAAAAGTAAATTTTAACAATTTTTTACTTATAGAATTTTTTTTTTTTTTTGACAAAATTTGTGGATTGGAGAACCCGTATTATAACGTTTTATTAAATCCGCATTGCTAGATAGAATTGATAAATTATTCAAAGTTTGTTGGTTCATATTTGAGTTTTGAAAAACTTTCACCAGAACAATTTGTTATAATAAAGCATAAAAAAATTCTTAAAACTGTCTCAAGATTTAGAAATGCAGTTTTCATTCAAATAAATTTTTTTCTTTTATCAGTTTATAAATGAACAAGTGAGCCATAGCTGTTTCTCAATATTTAATTTTGAAAAAATTATGAAATTAGAAAATTTCATCAAACAAAGACATCAATATTTTCATGAGATTGTTCAACGATTTCTTCAACATTTTATCTTAGCTTCATATTATCCATGTTCACATTATTCAAAAATTTAAAAGTTGTGTTAGATTCTTGATATTCAATCATCTTTCCATTCAAATTTGAATTGCATTGACGATTTTGATAAAAAAACTTATTATACCACATTTTCTATGGTTTGGATTATCAAAGAATTTTTTATTTGTTCAATGTTTTTTATTTGAATATTTTGTATCAGGACGTAAAATTTTAATTTTAATTTTAGCTTTACCTTCAAATCGTCATAGTTGTCATTTAAATTCTGAATATAATTTGGCAGCGAAGACAGAAGTAAATAACATGCATCTAATGTTGTTTTTGGATCTTGTTTTGACACTGAGTTTTTTTTTTTAGAATTGCATCCCAGAAAACTGTACTGCAAATTCAAATTCTTCCATTTTTGATGCAGTATTCTGTATCTCTACTACTGTATTATGTAGCTCTAGCAATTTGTTCAAAATTTTGATCTTCTAAAATATTCGTGAAAGAACTCAAAATACTTTCAAAACAGATTACTTTTACTGAATCAGATTCTATATTCTTCTAATTAAATAAATTGTTAAGGCTTCTTTGCGTTTTGTAGAATTTTCGTGGCTTTTTGGCAGTAAAACAGTGTTTTTTCAGTCTCTTAAACCAGTTGTAGCAAGTAAAAAACATGAAATCTTAAGAACTTTGCATACAAAGCATTAAAGATTTTCTTTTGCTGGCGAGTAAATCGACCATTCTCAATTGTATTTTTCACCATTTGCTCTTTGGCCTTTAAAATAAGATTTTAACGAAATTGGTTTTGTTTAGTTTTTGATCCTTTTGAAATCCAAAACCAAATATTGTCTTCAGAATGTTTCAATTGGCCAATGTCATCTTTCTGAAACTGATTATTTTGTTTCAATTAAGCAATTTGTAGGTTCTGTACTTCTAACTTTCACCACCGGCTTATTTAGATGTTTAAGAACATTCAAATTAATGTATGTTTCTATCTATGTTTGAATAATAATTAGTTTTTATAATACACTTTAAAAGAATTAACTTATAACTACTTAAATATTTTATGCTTAAAATTTACGTGGCCAAAACTTAGCTAAATCCAGGACTTGTCTAGGTAATATTTTAAATTTAAATCTAACATTGTTAATTTTAATTTGAGCTTATGCTTTTAATCTTTTCTTTAAGAAAATTTTTTTTTTTAAAGACTTTTTATAAGCACTATAATAATTTGAAATTTGAACTCCAATAAAATGTCGAATTTTATTGTGTTTAAAATATTTAGATAAAAGATGAAAAAAATTGTGCTAATTAACCTAAAAGCAGGAGCATAAAATTTACAGCAAAATTTTTGTTTTTTTAATGAATTGTTTGTACATGTACATTTTTAAAAGTAATCAGTATCTATTCCTAGAGCAATATTTATAAGTTGCATAGGTACAGATTATTTAATTTTGTAACACAACATTTGCTCTACGGTCATATGTCAAATGTGAATGGATATGCTGGGAATAAAGTTTACAACGCGCAACTACTAGTGTAATTGACACAGTTGACAAAATGTGCTAGACATTTTCTGTTTCCAGAATAGTTAGACCATAGCTTTGGGTAGTTTTTTATAGCCTTGTGAATATACCTGGAATAAATTCACAGATTTTATATTCATTTGCTAACCAATCAGATAAAAAAATACACCGAAGGTTGTTTATGAAAAGTTTGATACTTTCACTTAAAGAATGAAAAGAATATGAAAGAGAATCCGACATTTTGAGTGAGCCTTTAAAACTTGCCATCAGATGTGCAGGCATTGTTAAAAATAAATTATGAAGTGTCTACAGAGTGAGTTCAAGAAGAACAACAGCCTCTAAAACGAAAAACATGTCATTTGTGCACACAAGATAGAAAAAAAAAGTCAGCATTAATGAAATGCCATAATTGTCAGACATTTAAATGTAAGCATCACTACCAGAAGAAAATTGTATGAATTGGTTGTGCAAATACAAAAAGCAATTTCAATTATGACAAAAAAACACATTTTTTTTGTTTTACAAATAGTTTTTTTTATTTATTTATAGTTTTGCAAATAAAATACTTTACGAAACTCATTGGAATATTGCTTTTTCTTTAATTATTTATAACTTTTTGTCATCGTAAAATAGTGAAAATTTGCTCTAAGCTGTATGACGTAAAATTTATGGCGCACACCAGTACATGTTAAAATAATATGCGTGCTCGCTCAAAGGTTAAACCAGAAAGTTTTACATTTTTTTAAGAAATAGCTGTCAGAGAAAAATTAGTTATTTACTTTGTATATAAATAATTGTTTTCCTTGTAATAATTATTTTCATTTAAGTTATCTGTTGATCTATTATTTTTTATTTAAATTGATATATTACATAAAAAATATGATAAAAACACTTATTACTTTATTAAACAAAGTAATGTGTGCTTGTTGGTTATGGTTTAAATTTTCCTCACAAATCTTTACAAACTTTTTTTTTAATCCACTAAAACAATTTTCTAATCATGATTTTAATTAAATTTGCTAATGTAAATAATAGATAGAAATTTTTCAAAAACATGAAATGGAAGAAACAAGTAAACTCTTCATTTTTAACAGTACGTTCGTTAATTTTTTTATTATATAATTATATAGTTGTGCAATATGGTCATATAATAAACAACTTTGTTTACCTTTTAACACCTAATTACAGGTGGTTTTATAAAAATCTTTGTATCTTTTATATTACAGCAAATTAAAATTTTAAAAAAAAAAATTTTAAAAGAAAAAAAAATTTAAAAAATTATATATTTTTTTTGTCTTGTTTTAAAATTTCTTTTTAAAATATTAATTTTCTTTAAAAAATTTACAAAATTAAATCAATAAAAAAATAAGAAAAAAATATATTAGTTTTGTGAATAAAAATGAAAATTTTATAAACATTATTCTGTGCCAAATTTGACCGTGATTGATAATTTGCAAAATTGCATTATTGTTAATATTTCTTGAAACAAATTCAAAACAAGACTGACACAAGTATAAAAAAAGACTTAGTTAGGTGTTTATAAGGATAAACACCTAATTACTGATGTTTTGAAGTAAAAATTAAATATTTGAAGTAAAAGCTTTTGACAAAGGCCAACAAGAATCGAAAGAATAAAAATTAGACAAACAAAATACCAAAAAACTATCTGAAGAGCAAAAAAAAATTGCATCTCAAAAAGAAGTAAATCAGACTTCAAAAACAAGGGAAAAAAAACCCAAAATATTCAAGACTCAGTAAACATTGATCCAATAGGAGAGCCTGTTTGTTTATGTTATTCTTGTTGTGTTGATTAGGCAAAGTGCCACAAATGCTCAATGGCTAACACTTGAACAGTGTGCTAATTGGTCTTGCATTGCTTGTCTGATTGATTATCATCCTTCTATGAAATTAATATCCATTAAATACCAATAGAATTTTTTTTTTAACATAACATAATTTTAGAAGTTTCATTTAGATAATAATAACAATTTTATTAAATTATTTAATGTGTTTATGTGTGTTTTTTCTATTTTGTATGCAGTTGGTATTAGGTTCACAATACCCTATTTCTGGATAAAAACAAGTTTTTAATAAAAAAAAAAAAGTTTTGTTAATTTTGTTATTATAATAATAAAGTTTTTTTATATTGTCAATTTCATCTTGCCATTGTGCATATATGGGCGTTTATTTTTTCAAAATTTGACATAAAAAGGGAGTTATTTTTTTTCAAAACATCCGTTAATAGGTGTTCACACGGTGTATCATAAAAAGAATTATAAAAAGTTAATTTTGGGTGTTAATTTTGGGCGTAATTTTGGTAGTTTAAACTAGCTCTGCATCTGATCCAATTAATATTAATTGGTAAGGTTTTGGAGCAACACAAGATTTCAAAAAACAAATCTATAACTTGTTAAAAAAAATTGCAAAAAGAAAACCTTTATAATAAATAAAAATAAAAAAATCTATGACTTGTTAAAAAAAAAAGGTTTTTTAACAAGTTATAGATTTTTTCTACTTTAAAAGTTAGAAATACTTTTTTTTCTATCTTTGAACTATGTTTTTAGACATTTTTAACTATAAATGGTTTAGTAATTTTATAAATTTTTACTAATTAATGTAAAACGGTAATTAAATAAAAACCTTTTAATTTTTTAAACTGATTGATTACCTGCCCAAATCAAAATATATTATACACTCTGCTGCATATAAAAGTAAAGATAAAAAAAATTAAAATTAAAAAGTAAAAAAAAATTAATAAATATATTTTATATATTTAGGCAATAAAACAAACATTGTACCTGTACCACTTTCATCTTTTGTCCCACAAAACTCTTCGGATAGCTATTATCATTATGCAGGATCTTTAACTACTCCAGAATGTTCTGAATCAGTCATGTGGATTGTTAATCAAAAGTTTATGAAAGTCTCATCAATTCAGGTTTGATATTATAAATAATTTCTATTTTTCAGAGGATTTTTTGATTATAAAAGTGTCAAACTTAGTAAAAAAACATTTTTTTTTTGGTATTATAAGATAAGGATAAAATAAAAATGTAATAAATTTTTAAATACAAAACCACAAAGCAGAGTGTTCAATTGAAAGTTAAAGATAGAAATTCAGTTTGTTAATTGAAGTTTAATGTTAAATTTGTGTATGTTATTGATATCAATTAAAAAATTTTACTATTGAGTTGGTTTTAATGAATAAAATTTCAATTTAATAAATACATAAAATTAAGTTTTAAAATCTTTTTACTTAACATGAAATTTTTCTAAACTTTTAGCTTCAAGCTTTTCGATTATTAAAAGGACATTTACACAACGTAAGTGATTCAGTTGAACCCGAAGTTTTAACAGAGAATGATCGACCAATACAGCCTTTAAATGGAAGAAAGGTTTACACGAGTATTCCTTTTCTTAATTCTTCTGATTCTTCTTCGTCATCTTTACTACCTGCTACTGCTTCTTTTACTCCTACTGATTCTTCTTCGTCATCTTTACTACCTGCCTCTTCTTCTTTTACTTCTACTAATTCTTCTTCGTCATCTTTATTACCTGCCTCTTCTTTTTTTACTCCTACTTATTCTTCTTCGTCATCTTTACTACCTGCCACTGCTTTGTACATTATTTTCTCATTCATTAGTTTGGTATTTTTATAAATATCTAGAGTAATTTATGTTACGAAATACTTTGGTAATTATCTTTAAACTTTATGTCTATTTAGATTTCTATGACTTTTTTATATTGTTTTCTTACGTTTAACATGTTTCTGTGATAATAAATATTTTAGGTGTTTAATTCATATAATCACATAGATTTTTTAATGTTTAGTGGAAATAAGGCATTAATTAAAACGTTTAATGACACTTATTTTTATTAAGTTAAGTGTCGATAAATGTATTTTCCAATATTGTTTTTTGTTCAATTAAATTTCATTTATTTTTGTAAATTAATTAAGATAAAATAAAATAGTTTATCAAAAGTTGTGTACAAAAAGCACAAAAACTACATTTTTTGAATGATTTTTTAACCAGTAAAGCTTTTTTCATTATAATTATTTCATTATATTTACTAAAAACATTTATATATTTTATACTTTTTGTAAGATATTGTATTATTACTATTTTTATGAAAAAAAATCCAAAATGATTGTAAAAAAGTTTTATTTTTTATAAAAAAAACATAAATTTTTAATATGTACAAAAATGCTAAAAAAAGTAATTTTAAAATATTCTTATTTATAGAATATTTGCAAACGTAAAACAGTAATTTACAAATGTAAAACAGTAATTTACAAATGTAAAACAGTAATTTACAAACGTAAAACAGTAATTTACAAACGTAAAACAGTAATTTACAAACGTAAAACAGTAATTTACAAACGTAAAACAGTAATTTACAAACGTAAAACAGTAATTTTCAAATGTAAAACAGTAATTTACAAACGTAAAACAGTAATTTACAAACGTAAAACAGTAATTTACAAACGTAAAACAGTAATTTACAAACGTAAAACAGTAATTTACAAACGTAAAACAGTAATTTACAAACGTAAAACAGTAATTTTCAAATGTAAAACAGTAATTTACAAACGTAAAACAGTAATTTACAAACGTAAAACAGTAATTTACAAACGTAAAACAGTAATTTACAAACGTAAAACAGTAATTTTCAAATGTAAAACAGTAATTTTCAAATGTAAAACAGTAATTTACAAACGTAAAACAGTAATTTACAAACGTAAAACAGTAATTTACAAACGTAAAACAGTAATTTACAAACGTAAAACAGTAATTTACAAATGTAAAACAGTAATTTACAAACGTAAAACAGTAATTTACAAACGTAAAACAGTAATTTACAAACGTAAAACAGTAATTTACAAACGTAAAACAGTAATTTACAAACGTAAAACAGTAATTTTCAAATGTAAAACAGTAATTTACAAACGTAAAACAGTAATTTACAAACGTAAAACAGTAATTTACAAACGTAAAACAGTAATTTACAAACGTAAAACAGTAATTTACAAACGTAAAACAGTAATTTACAAACGTAAAACAGTAATTTTCAAATGTAAAACAGTAATTTACAAACGTAAAACAGTAATTTACAAACGTAAAACAGTAATTTACAAACGTAAAACAGTAATTTACAAACGTAAAACAGTAATTTACAAACGTAAAACAGTAATTTACAAACGTAAAACAGTAATTTACAAATGTAAAACAGTAATTTACAAACGTAAAACAGTAATTTACAAACGTAAAACAGTAATTTACAAACGTAAAACGTTTGTAAATTACTATTTTACATTTGTAAAACAGTTATTTGTTCAAAATTATTTCTGTAATTTGGTATCAAGCTTTAAATAAGTAAAATATGACCTTATGGTATTTTTAATTTTTGTTTATAAACCCGTTTATAAACATGGCGATGGAATAGGTGAGTAGGGAACAATGTTTTATCGACGTTTCTTTAAATTAAAAAATGATGTATTTTCAGTTCATTTAATAGGTTAATACTATAGACGTCTATGAAGCTATAAATTATTAAAACTATTTACTTTTTCCGGTCTTTTTTTTTAGCTCTGAAATATGTACGTTTAATAAATATAGTAACTGGCTGTTTTTATTTTACCTTAATCTCGGACCAATGTACGCTCAAATTGTAATAAAACGTTGAACCTACTGAACAGTTTTACGACTAAAATTTAGACCTTAAATTAATAAAAAATTTTAGACCTTAAGGTCAAACATTTAACTCAGTTTAACAAAATTCACATTTTTTTTGCAAAGTTTTACATCTTCTAGTGTTCGAAAGTTGTGACCATGTGAATTTACAACCCATTTTAAGAATTCTTACAATGGCTTGCAAGTTTCACATAGTCATAACTTTCGAACTCTAGAAGCAATCTTCTAAAGGAATATTTTTGGGGGATTTTTTTGTTCCCAGGCTTCAACACCGCATTTTTATGCAAAACACTTTCATTTTACATAAACATTAACACAATTAAGTTTGGAGCACAATGTATGAAAGTGTCATATCTGAAACATCAAAAAATCATGTCTACGGGCCTGGTTTATTAAATTAAAATGTATATACCTAATTGAGATTCTATGCAAACTTTTTTTTCCCCGATTAAGTATGGTAAATGTTAATTTCAAAAAAGTAAATTTCAAAAATAAAAAAAACTCAATTTTCAGTTTTGAAATTTACTTTTTTGAAATTAACCAATAATAAATGCAACACACTGGCTAATATAATTTTAAAAAACTATTTAACTATTTAATTTTAAAAAACTATTAACTTTAGAAAAGTTCAATATCCGGCATATCTGCCAAAAATATCCAGAATAAATCCATAATATCTTCCCACAAAAGCACCCAACAAAGCATATATTCTTTTATCAGAGGACGTGTGGAAAAAAAGATATGCGAACCGTGAGCAATAGTAAAAAATAAAAAACTTTCAAATGCAACCACTCTCTCAAAACATATATGGAAAACTTGGAAAAAACTCAAAAAAACTCCTGAATTAACTTGTTCTATCCTAAAAAGAGCAACTGCTTACAACAACACAACAACAAAAATGTTTACTTATATGAAACTCATATGTTTATAAACAAAAATGTTTACTTATATGTTTACTTATATATTACTTATATTATATGAAAAACTAATAATTTTACTTTATAAAAATGCCCAAGAGCTACTAAATAAAAAAAAAACAGATTGATTTCCAATTGTCTTCACGAAAATAAATTTTTTAGTAGTTGTTTCAGTTTCGATCAAAAATATTTGATCACATTAAGATGATCACATTAAGATTTCTTTTTCCCGGCATCGTTTAGACGAAGTTGAGATGTCTAATTTTTATGCAAATTCTTGATAAATCTAAAATACAATTGAGACATCTAAAAAACGTTTTAAAGAAGGTCAGATATTAGATTTATTTTTTCAAGCAAATGTTAGACGTAGTTGAGACGTCTAATTTTTATGCAAATTCTTGATACCGAAGAAACATAAATAAGACATTTAAAAAACTTCTTACAGACTATCATATATTAGATGTCTTTTTTTGGCATCTGTTAAATGCAGTTGAGACGTTTAATTTTTATGCCAATTCTTGATCCATATAAAATAAAAATGAGTCTTCTAAAAAATGTCTTAACGACGATCACAAATAAAATTTATTTTTTTAAGTATTTGTTAGACGCAGTTAAGACGTCTAATTTTTATGCAAATTTTTGATACATATAAGAAATGAGTCTTCTAAAAAACGTCTTAAAGACGTTCACATAATATGTGACTTTTTATATTATAAAAAGTCTTCGGGCATTTGTGAAACAAAATTAAGACCGCTATTTTTTATGGAAATTCTTGATACGTATAAAATAAAAAATTAAAATATTTAAATAACTTCTTAAAGACAATCCATATTATATTATCTTATTATAGTCTTTTTTTTCTTTAAATGTATCAAAAACTTGCAGAAAATAGACGTCTCAACTGCGTCTATAATA